CCTGTAAAAACAAATGTACGTGATGTGGATTTTGGGGGATTTACGTATAAAGAGTTTCTTTTGTGGCTTACGAAATTAACCAATGGAGCCTGTGCTAATGTCTACTACTGTATGAAAAAGGAAAGCTTGTGTGAGGGTATTAGAAGAATCGACAGTGATGCTGATTATTGGGAGTTTGTGGAAACTGTTTATAGTCTTGAGAGTGATAGTCCTGAGAGTGAGTTAGATGTGTACATTGACCACCGAAATGAACCAATTATTGATTGGGTTGATAACGAGTTCTTAGCAGATGGTAAAGGGTATGAGTCGGATGAGTTGGATGAAGAGGATGACAAGGATTCTGAAGTTTCAGAGACAATGGAATATGAACATGAATGTGATGAAGAGGTCCATACTTTTGATAAAACTGTTGGAGACCCATTCTTGGACAAACTTTCAGGACATACAAGTGATGATGATGAAGAGGAAGCTAACAATGGAAAATATAAGGATATTGTGTTCCCTGTCCATAATGAGAATCAAGAATGGGAGCAAATGGTGCCAGTTTTGGGTACGAAGTTTTGTAACCCATTTGAATTGAAGTTGTGTATCACCAACTATGCAGTCAAAAAGGGATATGATTTATGGTATGAGAAAAGTGATCATCAAAGGTTATTGGTAAAATGTTGTAAAGGTAAGACAAATAAGCAGGGTAAAGGTTGTCCCCTTAGGTTATGGGCAACCTGTGACCAGTGAAAAATCATTCCAGATTAAATCTCTGAATGATATGCATAATTATGCAAGAGTCTTCAAATTTGGGTCCATTGTTACCTATAAATGGATAGTAAATCATTTCATGAATCAAATACTTCAGAAACCAAAGATGAGTATAAGGAAGTTGAAAGCTAAAGTCAGCAAGAAATTTAATTTGATTGCAAGTGTTGGACAATGCAGAAATGCAAGGAAATATGCATTTCAGGAGATAGAGGGTTCTTTAAAAGAACATTATGCAAAAACATGGAGCTATGGAGAAGAGATAAAAAGGACTAACCCTGGATCAACAGTGAAGATGGATGTAGATGTCATGCCTAATGGAACCACTTATTTCTCAAATTTTTATGTATGTTTCAAGGGATTGAAGGATGGATGGATTGAAGGTTGTAGGAGCCATCAAGGGACTTTCCCTTGGTACCCTTCGAAGGGCTCTTCCTCTGCTTTCCTTTGCCTTGCCCGATTGCCAAGACAGGGGTGTTGGTAGGAGTAGGAGTAGAAGTAACAACCGATTTACCTTTAAGACCACTTTCAGCGGTCTTCAAGAGTCCTTGAAGCTTGATGAATGTAACTTCCTCCTTGTTCATGTGGTATGTCATTCGGAATTGATCATAACACGAAGGTAAGGAGTGCAAAATGATATAAATTGCCAACTCCTCTAGGAAGTTCACATTCAGTTTCAGCAAACGGTCCACATACCTTTGCATTTTCTGCATCTGGCCTGTGATGGGTTCACCATCCTTCATCCGGGTTGTTATCATGGAGGAGATGATTTCATACCGCTCTTGACGAGCACTCTGATGGTAGCGGTCCATCAAGTCCTGGTGCATCTCAAAAGGGTAATAGTCCTCATAGGACTTTTGGAGCTCAGCTGTCATTGTGGCCAACATGATACATGCCACTTTGGTGGCATCTCTCTCATGTTCCTGGCATTCAACGATTTCCTCAGGAGTAGCAGACGACTCATCAAGTTCCTTAAGCTCCTTGTCGAGGACATATTCCTTGTCC